AAGGGAATTAGCACATTGGGAGTGGTGGCAGTGGACTAGATCTAAACTGGTAGTTAAGCTTAGAAGTTTTCATGCAGGCCCCCACATTTGTACCCTAAAGTTCAGAGTGGGGAAGTAGCCTTGACAGCCGTGCTCCCTTTCAGAGCCCCTGCTCTCCAAGACACAGCTCCTGTCCTGCCAGCATGAACGACATCCCTTGTCCCTCGATGTTTGACCTTGCATTTGGCTGGATTCATGTGCAGGTCTAATTGCGCCTAACTCACCAGGTGACCCAGGTAGCTCTGTAGCTTGGAGACATCCTTCACGCCACCAATCTTTGTGTTCTCTGCAGACTTTCCCAACAACAATTTACATGAACTTCCAGATGATTGATACAGATACCGAATAACCTCAGGCCCAGAACAGGTCTTCGTCGGGCCCACCAGCAACACCCCAGTGGATGCTGATTCCCCAGTGAGAATCATATTTTGAGGAGAATCAGTTAGCCCATTTTGGAACCATGTTGAGTGTTTAGAGAGCTAATTTCTCAATATGAATGTTGTGTGGTAGTTGGGCACACTCCCTACGGGAATCCACGTATATATCACAACAGCACAGTCACCTTAAAGAACCAGACTTTTAAGCTTGCTCAGAAATGACAGCATGGTCATTGAACATGGACTGTTCTCCATGAACTCACGCTGACTGGCATTAACTCTGTTTCCATCCGTTAGTAGCTGCCTATTGGTAGATCCAATCTCAGCCCTTCCATTATTTGGCTCTGGATCCCTCTCTTGGAATTGCCACGTCTGATGAATGAGGGGTGGGATCTGTCCATCCAGATATCAGTGTCACTGTCGAACAGAGGTGGGCAAACTACGGCCCAGGGGCCACATCCAGCCCTCCAGACATTTTAATCCGGCCCTCGAGCTCCTGCCGGGAAGCGGGGTCTGGGGCTTGTCCCACTCCGGTTCTGCAGTCGGGGAGTGGGATCAGGGTCTTGCTCCACTCTGGACGGCTCCCGGGAGCAGCCTCCTGACTCCACTCCGGTCCTACGCATGGGGCAGCCAAGGGGCTCCGCATGCTGCCCTCACCCCAAGCGCCGCCCCTGCGGTTCCCATTGGCCAGGAACCACAGCCAATGGGAGCTGCAGGGGTGATGCCTACGCACAGGGCAGCGCACAGA